AGACAGGCTCTTCTCTGGGCCCATCTATCATGATCACCCCTAGACTTATGTTGAAACATGTACACCATTAAAGAAAAGTATTAAACAAGACAAGAGAGAGAGGAGAAAGAACATTCAGCTTTCGGGAAAGAATTAGTTTCACAAGAATGATGCCTAATTAGCGTCTTTGAATTTGGACTGTAGCCCATGTAGTTGGCCTAAGGATTTCATTTTTGATTATACGAAGAATCTCAGTTGTAATTCTTTTCTCTCTCCTATGTGCTTTTGGGAAAAAAGTTTGAAAATATAAATTTGCCTTGGAGGACAACAATAACTTTTTCACTGTAATATTGTAATAAAAGTTCATACAAGGCCTAAAATCAGAAGGAAGAAAAGAAAAACATGCATTGCATCAATCAATAAATCCATCAATAATTGAAAGGACCATCAGCTCCACTAAGCAAAGGTTGCGAGTTTATAAATCCACATGAAAGCTTGTTATGTTACCTAGCGGATCTACAAAGAAGATGCTATTGTCATCAATGCATCAAAGTTCTGTTGTAGAAACTTTTTTTTTGTTGAGCTGATTCTCATGACCTATTTTTTCTTAAACCAGCTATAGCTGAAATATGCAAGTGAATGCCCTTTTTTAAATATTTTTCCTTACCAGGAGTTCAGGCTGCTTATTGGGGGATGCTTGATGAGGGAAGGATAACACAAACAACTGCAAACATTTTGATGCAATCAGTAGATGAAGCAATCGACTTGGCTTCCCATGAACCTCTGTGTGATTGGAAGGGCTTGCAATCCAATGTTCATTTTCCAAATTATTACAAGTTCCTTCAAGCAAGCATTTTCCCTCAAAAAATGGTTACTTATTTCACTGTAGAGAGGCTTGAATCTGCATGCTACATTTGTGCTGCATTTCTACGTGCCCATAGAATTGCACGGAGACAACTACATGACTTTATTGGTAATTTACTCACTTTGGTAGGCTATTTGGTAAATTTCTAATGGACAAAATCTTACATGATTGAATACCTTTTCTTTAAAATATTTTTTCTTTGGTTTTCTATTTACAGTTTTACTTTAATGCAGTACATGGATTGTGTTATATTTTCTGTTCATGTACTTCTAAATCCTTTTTGGCTGTAAGATCAGAAACTATCAACTTCTTGTACACCAATCTTAACAGAGGAAAATTGCACCTACATGGTCATTATCATTTAATCCGTGTGCTTCTTGTGATTTTGCTTCAAACTTTACATAAATTTATAATGGCTATTCCATATAATGCTCTAGTAATTTTCTTTAAAGAGATGCTTATATCAATTTCGAGGAAATCTTGTATCCGTGTTATAGTAGTTGTGAAGGTATTTTGTGGTTGCAAAAGTCTATTTTCCATGTTAATGGTAAATTCTTTCTAATCCCTGTACAGTCATCTCCCAAACATGTCTTACTAAGACAATCTCAACACCAGGTGGAAGTAGGACTTGTGAAGTTATGAAGGTTTTCACATGCTGTCACAAGATCATTGAAAGTGCCACACTGTTGATTTGTGGTCTACATTGCACTTGCTTCTTAAATATTTGCTTTAGAGTTTACATAATATCATTGAAAGTGGCACACTGTTGATTTGTGGTACGGTGTTGAAGCTAGTCTTATGGCTTTATTTATTGACAGATTCTGTTTTCGTCAAAACTGAATTCTTCCTGGCTCCTTTTCTGATTGTTTTATGATTACATATACTGACATTAAAAGCATGTCTCGGTTTTTCTTGAAAAAAGAAAAGACAAGGAAACTGGGATTTTATTGGTAAATGTGTGCTTTGGAGAAGAACTTAGAATACATGTAAGTTAGTCTGGTAGCTCTTTCTTAGGCAAGATGTAGAACATTTCAATCTCTTAATCCTACTTTGCCTTTTAGTTTCCAGCAGGCGATCACATGTCAACATCTAATATTCTTCCGTGGCACAAAGATAAAATTTAAGTGATAGTTCATGTTGAGATTGCTGCTTATTCTAATGGTAGATTTTTTCTTTTTTGACTAATTTCATGAGGTTGTCTCTATTCTAATGCAACCTGCACTGGAGAGGACTTCTTTTGTGGATTCTGAGCTATTGGTTTATGAGGTTGTCTCTATTCTAATGCAGCCTGCACTGAAGAGGACTTCTTTTGTGGATTCTGAGCTATTGGTTTATCTGCAGTATAACTCTTTGAAATCAAATTGCATTGGGAAAAAGGAAATAGTTACGAACAGCCAAATGAATTTGAGGATATTTTTTGTAGGAGGAATAATAGAAACTAGAATTAGAAATTTCATTTCAGCTCCTTGACTTGGGTTTTATTATACCGTTCTATTCCTTTTGGTTTATCTTGAATCTAGCTTTGATGAAATTCCTTTAGGATTGTTAGAGAGTAATATAAAACTATTATTGGACCTCACTTAACAGTTTAAATTATTAGGTTGAGATGGTTATTTGACATGACATCAAACCATTGTTCACTAAGTGGTAATGAGTTTAAATCTCACTACTCTCATTCTAATTAATAACAAGGTAGTCTGTATGTGTGCAAACTTCAAGCTCAAAAGGCTTTCACTTGAGGGGATGTGTTAGAGATTAATATAAAAAAAATTTTGGACCTCACCTAACAATTTAAGTTATTGGGTTGAAATGGTTTTTTGATAGGGATAAAGTAACTAATTAGGAACCATCAAAGGAATTTTAGTATATTTATTCTAGGAAGAATAATAAAAATAGAATCTAGAATTAGAAGTTCAATTTCAGTTCCTTGACTTGATCTATTATGTCGTTCTATTCCTATTTGGGCAAAGAATTCTTGTTCCTTCTGAATCCATTTGGAGTGTGGAAGAACACCCTATTAGCCATAGCAGTCAAGTTTGCTATTGATGATTGTTTGACTTTTGAACATTGAGGCTTCTAATTGCTTCCAAAATCTCTGTTTGTCCACTCTCCTCTCTTCTCATCTTATCCCTCTCCCTCTCCCTCTCCGTCCCTTAATTTTCTCTCTGCTGTTTCTTGGATGAATTGGAAAGTCCAATTTGTAGAGGCTCTGAGATGCCCTGCAATACCTGGATAATAGTAAATGATGATCTTGATTTAGGTATGACAAGTAATAGGTAGTTAGACTCAGACATGATTCCTACAATATAGTTTTTTTTCTTCTGTGTCATAATGTATATGGGAAGATATTTTCCCTTGGGTCAAACATCTTCTTACCACTTTAAAAATGTTTCTGATAACAACCTGATTCTCGGTGGCTTCCAGTAAAGTGACATTTATTTCCTTTTGAAAGAGCATAACTGTTTTCCATGTATATAGTGTAGAATTCTGTGAGAAGTTTGACTTCTCCCTTTCTTATACTTCTAGGTGACAGTGGTATTGCTTCTATAGTCATTAATGAAAGTAATGCAGAAGGAGAAGAAGCAAGAAAGTTCTTGGAAGATGTCCGTGTTACATTTCCTCAGGTTTGTAAGTTTAACTGTACCTGTATATTTGTTCAGGTATAATGAATTCTGGGAGGAATTGATTAACCTAGGTTGGTGGGTCATCAGGTTTGTTTCATTCATATAGTTTATTGTAGATATGGCGACTAAATCAGGGGATGTTAGAACACAATTAATTATTAACTACTTTTTCAGGTTTTACGTGTTGTGAAAACAAGACAAGCAACATATTCAGTGCTGAACCATTTAATTGATTATGTCCAAAATCTTGAGAAGGTTGGGTTATTGGAAGAAAAGGAAATGCTTCATCTTCATGATGCTGTCCAGGTGATTTTGGTTTCATCCTTTAACAATTCTATGATCTCTGGTCAATGCACTTCAGTTTTTGTAAATTCGAGTTAAAATGTTTTAATCTTCTAATGCAGACTGACTTGAAAAGATTTCTAAGGAATCCTCCTTTAGTAATGCTTCCCAAAATAACTGACTCCATTAGTGCCCATCCTCTGTTGGGAGCCCTTCCTTCTATGGTGCGTGAACCCCTTGAACGTTCTTCCAAAGAAATAATGAAACCACGTGGTGTGCCCCTTTACAAAGAAGGCTCCAAGCCCAATGGTGTCTGGCTTATTTCCAGTGGTGTTGTCAAGGTAAATAACATTTATATCAGAAATTTTGGATTTGAGAAATTAGTCAGAAGTACTATTATTTTCCTTGGGAACAAACACATGACAATTTACCAATGAGAGAATCATTTTTTGGCAGTGGACAAGCCAGAGTGTTAGGAGCAAACACTCATTGCATCCAACTTTTACTCATGGGAGTACACTAGGCCTGTACGAACTGCTAGTTGGGAAACGTTGCATATGTGACATAATAACAGATTCTGTGGTGCTCTGCTTTTTTATTGAAAGCGAGAAAATACTTCCTCTGCTAGGGTCAGACCCTGCAGTTCAAGATTTCCTGTGGCAGGTATAATTATACATTTTGGTTTAGATTCAGCACATTTCTTCTCCTTTAATGAAATTACTCACTCTGATTAAGATTTTGAATGAGTCAAGAATTGGATTTTTCCCAAGTCCACAGTGTCTAGTTGCCTCATAATGTCCACCTACTTTGGAAGAGGGTAAAGTGACTTGAGGTATGCTGAGTATGATTATTGATCTTTACTTGAAGCTTTATTCCTCTTTCCTTTTCTTGTGTGGTGTTGCAGGAAAGTGCAATCGTTATTGCGAAACTCTTGCTTCCTCAAGTATTTGAAAAAATGCCAATGCAAGAGTTGAGAGCCCTTGTAGCAGAAAGGTCAGTGATGACCACAGGCATCAGGGGAGAAACTATAGAAATACCTCGTCATTATATTGGCTTTCTATTAGAAGGATTCTTAAAAGCCCATGGTTTCCAAGATGAATTGATTGCATCGCCTGCAGTACTTTTGCCTCCACAAGGAAATCAAAGCTTTCAAAAGATAGGGATATCAGGTAATTTATGCTCATTTTGTTTCAAAGTTAACGGATTTGTTTGTAGTTTTGGAAAAATTGCCAAACAGCCACTGACCTTCAAGTGCATCTGTTACACTTGGACCTCTCTGTTACTTTGGTCCCTGGGACAACCACAATGACACTGATAGACAGAGGCATACACTCTCTTGAACCATCAAACAAATTCCTTTTTTTGGTACACAGGAGAACTAGAGGTCTAGTCACAACCCAAACCCAATAGCCTATCATGGCTCAAACACTTTCTCATCAAACATGGTACTTTCTCAATGAGCCCTCTGGGTACCAATCACCAAGCCACTGCTGGAAATAGGAATATATTTCACTCAGGATAATGTCAAAATTAGTCTTTGAATTTGTCTGGAATTTCTTACTTGAGTCAGTTTTTTTTCCTCCAAAAAATGTAGTTTTTGTTCTAATTTTCTTTTAAATAGGTCCAAAATGAATGTTAATTACAGTAATGCAGTGAGAGTGAGCATCAAATGCTTTTTTTTTATGTTAATGTCAATGTCATCTGTCCATCCATGAAAATCCATAAATATATAAATAAATGCACAAACTTTTACTGAAACATTTGATTCAACCAAAATATGCTTAAATATATAAACAAAATATATTTAAAATTTAAAAGACAAATACTAAGGTAGAATACTATCAAACTATTCTTAATGCTCTATATATATAGGATATACGGGGGGGAAAGAAGAGAGAAGAAAACGTTATACCACTATGCCACCCAAAAACAAAATGGTTATATCATCACTCTTTCTATTCTTTTCAATGACCTCCACACTTCTGTTCTTTTCATGATTACAATTTTGGTATGGTTTTGACTGTACTTGATTTAGTTTTTGTTGACACCTTAATTTCAGAGACAAGTTAATTAATGGGCTATCAATTGAAACTAGAAAGCCAACTAGTTCCTTTGAAGTTGTGAATTTGATTTGTCATCTCCGTAGGAATTATCCACACCTATAATCTATATGGATATACGAAGTTTGTGAAAACATTTGATTTGATCAATGTTACCCTTATTGTTTGTCATTATGTTACTTAATAATCAATTCGTCAATTTTAATTGGATGTGTTTTAAAAAAACAGAACTCGTCAATTTCCCACATCAACATGAGCACCCCAGGACTGTATAAGTTAATACATGTGTTGAGAAAAGCTGAACCTTTTCCCCTCAATCAAAAAATTGAATTTTTTTTTTTGGCACTCAAACAAATGCATGAAAAATCAAAATCCAAGAAGAATTATAAAATCATCCTACAAGTCTAAATGAAAAATCATATGAGGTAGGCACAAAAATTCATTTCTTTAGGAAGCGAGCTTTTATATTTATTAAATACAATGAGTTTTGATTGATCCTGAGTGAAATGATGAATGAGAAAATTTGATGAATTTGCATTTGAATACATAAATCGTCTACTGTTAATCATATATTACTTGACCATTATGTAGACATAGATTGTTGCTGTGTTAAACTAGTCTTATTCAACCAATGTCCTTTTTGGTTGTTGGTTGTGGCAATTAGAAGCCATTTAAACCGGGTCACTGCTATTGTTGGTTTATAGGTGCCCAAGCAGTCAGTTACTCTCATCAAGGATCCCGGTATCAAGTTGAGGCAAGAGCAAGGGTAATCATTTTTGATATTGCAGCATTTGAAGGGGATGGTGCTTTGAGGAGAGGATCATCATCATTAGTATCGGTCGATAACCCCCACAGATCTTTCACTAGAGAGTATGGTGGTCTTTTGAGCTGGCCTGAAAATTTGTACAAACCAAGGGAACGTGAGCAGAACTGTGTAGGGACTTGTCGATCAGAAAATAGCTTGTCTGTGAGAGCAATGCAACTAAGCATATTTGGCAGTATGGTATGTTCAATATACATCTATTTGCAAAGATATGTTGCAAAGCTCCTTCTTGAGATCATTGCAAAAAATGCAGAACTCTGGAATTTTTATATTGAATAACTCAGGCTCAGAGACTTTATTGTTTATCAATTTACTCTTTCATGTAACCATTTGATGTAGTTCATTGTGCCTCCATGCTATGAAAATATATAAAGAGGGAGCTCCAAATCATGGCTTGTGGCCATTAGAATTCATCATATTTCTTGATAATGGAACTTCACTATTTTAGGTCCTGATTATTTTGAATTTCTGGCTTCTTGTTTCATTTCATAAGGTTGACATGCGGAGGCATGCCCACAGCTTTTCTGGTAGCCAAGTCAAGCGATCACACAGCTTGTCAGTTTTAAGAACCGCATCGTGCCAGCAAGTTGGTGCCCCATCAGAAGAAGCTACTTATGCTAGGAAGAGTCTTGAAGTGAGAAAGTTAGTTGGAAAAACTCATGCTCCCCCGTTGCAGAGTACAGGCACAAATGAGGCGTGTATCATTGATAATTACAGCGATGAATCTGATGCTGAAGATGACTTGGTGGTAAGAATTGATTCGCCTAGTAGGCTGTCGTTCCATCATGCTTCTTAGTTTGCGTTGTGAGCTATTTCTGTTGTAATTGTTTAAATTATGTGACTATCGTTTTTTTTTTAATTCTAAGTGTTCTTGCATACAAGGAACCGTAGTAAACAAGATGTGAAATGTCTTTAGTTCACATGGATGAGTAATCCTTTCCCCTATAAATAGTGATCTTGAATTCCTGGGAGTGACTCAACACTGAATGATGAGAATAAGAATGGAAAGGGCGCAATTTGTTCACTTGTTGAACAATTGACGGAAATTCTGTCGACATTATATATAAATAATAAAATGGCGCAAGGAGCATGAGTTGATTCCTGAACTTTGGAAATTCTGTGGACATTATATATAAATAATAAAATGGCTCAAGGAGCATGAGTTGATTCCTGAACTTTGCTTTTGTCACTTGTGATGACAGTTTCTGTGTCATGCTTCCCACCTTTAATCACTTTTAAGCCCAATCTTTCTGCTTAATAAAAGGAAGCCATTATTCTAGTGAATAAACGAAGGTGATTGTGGAAACAATGCAGCTCAGTGGCAAAGCCATGGGTTGCTTTTAGTGCTAAGCTCCCAAAAATTATTTGAACTTTAAGCGCTAGTAATGCTAGCTGGTGCCATATGTCGTGATGATTTAATTCAGTAGGACCATCTTAAGCATGTTTCCTCGTTTTTCTCTGGAACTGGCTTGTGATCAGTTGATCACAGCCTTAAGTTCAAAGGTATTACTTTATTATCCAAACACCAGCTCTCTTAGAAGTTCTTGTGCTCTAAGACACAACTGACAATCATTGTAATTGTAAAGGTGTGAAATGGGCGTGCAAGGCCAGGAATGTATTTTTACCGTTACATAATTGTTTTTATCAATATGGGGTTAAATATGTCATTTTTCTTTTTTATTCTCAGTAAAATCATTGTTATAGCCTTGGATTAAAAAATTCTTATGCTTTAGGCTCCAGAGTGTTTCGGTACTTTTCTTTTATTGAGTATAAAGTAATTATTTTGACGCTATTCAAAAAACAATTCATTTATAAGGATGTTTTAATAGTTTTCATTGGTTTTGTTGTAGACTGTAGACTGCAGTTTTTTGGTGGTGTTATTGTAATTATTATATATTTAATGTTATTTTTAAAAAAAAAATTAGACGTGTAATGTATATGCTACTTGTGGACAACTCCCATGTCATTTAGACAGTGCGTGTGGAGCTATCTAGTTTTTAAAAACAATCTTTCAAGATAGCATTAGGAAGATCTCAATATTCTCTCAATATTCTCTATACAGTGATAATATAAACAAAGCGCTATTGATTTGGCGCTAAAAATCATTTTTTTTTTCTTTTTTTTTCCATGAAATTTGTCATTCATGCAAAATTTTAGTGCAATCCCTATTATTTTTTTTCCTTCATATTTTATCCCTATTATTTTTATTTTTATTTTTGGAATAACCTATGAAATTACAAGTGCTTTTCAATGTTACCCTCCTACTATTTTTTAATCTACAAATAATATATTAATTTATTTTTTTTAATTTCATTCTGTACTATTTTTAAATATATAGATCTATAAATAATTTATCAAATTCCATATGTTTTTTTTTTAATGTTGCCCCTTATAATTTTTTTATCATTTAAATTTGGTCTTCAATCCTTTAGTTGTTATTTATTTTGTTTTGGATTATTTTTTTAACAAATTTCATCATCCTAGGGTATTTTTTTTAACAAATTTCATCATCCTAGGGTTTTTTTTCTATCAAATTTTATCTCCTTATTGTTTTTTTCTTTTGTAAGTTTTTTTTATTAATATTTTTTTACAATTTCATCCTTCAAAATTAATTTTTATAAGTTAAACTTCTTAATTGAGTCTAGGTCTGAGATTTCATAACTTGCAAATTTTAGAGATTATACCTAATTTAGAAAATTTACTTGGGTTTGCTTAGTTTTTTTTTTTAAACCAATGCTTTTTTATTTCTTATCTTCTTTTTTTTTTTGCAGTTTGATTCTATTTGATTAGTCCTTTATAATTTTTTTTTTATTTTACCCCTTATTATTTTTTAATCTATAAATAGTTTATCAATTTTAAATATTTTTTAATTTCACTCTTTATGATTTTTTTAATGTTTCAAATTTTATCCTAATTCTTTTAATTTCTATTTATTTTGTTTGGAATTATTTTAAAAAAAATTTCTCAAACTTAATCCTTAGGATTTTTTTCTCTCAAATTTTATCCTCATTTTTTTTTTGTTTCTTCTTTCTTCTTTCTTTTTCTTTTTTTTTTCTTTTGCAAGTTATTTTTTTAATATTTTTCAATAATTTCATTGTTCAAAATTAAATTAATTAAGAATTAAGTTTTTTAATTAAAATCAAGTTTAAAATTTAACGAGCTATAAATTTAAAACCAAGTTTAAAATTTAACGAGCTATAAATTTTTGAGATTGCACCAAATCTAGAAGGTTTAATTGAGTTTACTTTGTTGTTTTTTTTTTATTTTTCAAAAGTTTATGTTTTTTCTTATTTCTTTTTAGTTTTACTTTGTTATTTTTTATGATTTATCTTCTATTAAATTAATATTAAATTATTTAATAATCCAACTAGATTCAGGTTTGTTCTTTTCACCTTGTTCTTTTGTTATTTTATTTATTATTGCTGCTTTTATATACATATATTGTTTAGATTATTACTTGAATCAATGACAATTCTTTTACGGTAATAGTTCTTTATTTTGAATAAAGATTTTGCTGTATCCACATTGAAGTGCGGGTAAAAAATATAGCAAACAACTAAAAGGCTTGGATTTTGTTTAACTACTCATATGAATAGTGAACAAGGTAAATATATATTTTTTAATTATTTTCTATCATCCTCATGTTATAGCTCAAGTGGTGACTGCGGTTTGCATATCAGAGGTTGGGGGTCACTTCTCCTAGGCACTCTACTTTTTTTCTGAAAAAGAAGGGACAGATGACCTTACACAAAGGAAAAAAAATAAATTGGCCTGGGGTGAGGGGTACATTTTTTTAATTTTATTATTTAATAAGAGATTTTTATGAAATTTTATTCATGTGTTTGCATTTTTTTCAAAAAAAAAAAAGACACCAGGAAAGAAAAAAACATTAGAGAGTGCATGGGTTGGATTTTTTTTTCAATTCTATTATTTAGGTTTTTATAAAATTTTATTTTTTAATATTGAATGATTAATAAATTAGTTTTTATTATTTTATTATATAATAAAATAAAAAATTTAATTTTATCCAATAAAATTCATAATCCGGATTACTGGTTTAGTTGATTGGCAAATATTAATCAAAGAATCAAATTATAATTTTTTTAAATTTAAATTACTATATTAATTTTATTTTTTTAATTATTTATTTTATGGTTTTTATCAAATTTTATCGATTGATATTAAATTAAATATTAATTAAAATGTTAGTTTAAGAGTTTTCAAATTTGAATTAGTATACTAAGTTTAATAAATAAAGCTGCTGAAATTTCTTTTAACACGGCAGATATACTAGTTCCTTTGCTAGATGCCTTGTTATCGTGGATGCCAAAAGACAACAATCTGTCAACCAGTATTTGCAAAAAGAAGACGAATGTAAAGCTTATGAGAAAACAACAGTAAAGTCATTTTAAACAAAAACAATCCACGTAAAACTGGTCTATGATCCTCTTCAAGCCCCATATAATAATGAAAATTTTTTTGGGGAAACTGGCACAATAAAAATGACTTATGGTGACAAATCCTCTTGAAGAATTGTTTCATCGCTTCCAAAATCTTGTAAAGCCAACTCTGATTTAGAATTCGCCAAGAAGCCACCTTAGAGCTTTTATTCCAGCACTCAATTTCAAGCAAGATTCAACCGTGTGGTTTATTGACCGCCTAGAGATGGATCATATCATTAGTAAAAGTAAAGTCTAAGAATACTGGCATGGCATAACGCCGATGTATGTTAAATCATCAGATTTGGATGAAGTGGGCATAGATGTAACCTTGTTGACATTGTAAGCAACCTCGTTGATCATTGAAAGTCCTACACGTTTTGTCAACAAATGACACTGAGAATTTTATCCGAAAATCTCTCGATATCTATTTATTCATTCGATTTTCAGACAGCTTACAAAATAGAGCATTAACATGAGCCATACTGGGCTTTTCTTGTCTCAAAATACCATGATGCACTTCCAATGATTTTCCTCATATATTGCTCTCTGTGTGTGTCTATATATATTGCTCTAACAAATAAAAAAATAAAGCTGAAAGTAATAATTAATTATCTGTTCAGGCTTCATAAAGCATTCCAACCTCGATACGGTGTGGTGGCAGCACCCCAAGGGCTGGCAGTGCAGACCTGCAGTTACTGTGCATGAATTCATAAAATGCAAGCATGCTTCTTTCAAACCAGCTACAGTTCTTGCCTATATAAAACCTCGTCTTCCCTCGAATGTGAACCACTCCGGCCAGCTTTGCTTCTTTAAAAGCAGAAATCTCTTCCTGAACCTCGTGATGTTCAGATGTTAAACAGCTAGAGCAGTTCTGTAGATACACCTGCAAACTATCAGTAACTTGACTCACAATGTCATCTCCTTCGAGATTTAGGGAATCTGCATAGCCATATTGAATCACGCATCCATAAATTCCTTCGAGACCAAGTTTGTTGACAACGATCCTCTCATGTGCAGCAACCTTAGGCACCAACAAATATCGAAGTGTTGTGAAAATAGTGACTTTGTGTAGTGATTTCATGTTTTTAATATAATGTCCAAGGATAGGCGTCAGGCCATCTTGAATATTGCTGTAAAAGAAGCACAATCCTGGAACCCTCTGGATACCTGGCTCGGATAATAGCAATTCAAGTCTTCCCAAGTCTATCTTGTGAGTCAGTTCATACTCTATCTTCTTCTGCCTTCCATAAAACCAGCCAAACATAATGAAAGCAAGGATAAAAGATATGGCAAAAGGAATCCATCCACCCTCAGGTATTTTACTCAAAACAGCACTGGCATAAACCCCTTCCATTGTAAAAAAATATGAAGAAGTAAATTGCAACCAGCCATGGTGGAGTTCTCCATATCATGATCATAACTAACGTCAGTAATATTGTGGTGATGAGCATTACTAGACTAACAACAACACCTGCAAGCATGCATGTTAAATTAATAGGTTGTTTCCCCAAAATAGAAAGTATGAGGGCGTCTAAGCCAAAATGAAGAACCACATAATGACCCCAACAACCTCATACAACGCACAGATTTAAGCCAGTAAGCGCCAACATAGAGAAAGGCGTTATCCAATTGTGCTTCCTTTGAATTAGATTGAAGAATTTGGAAATACACCTACCTTTTAGCATTTTTTTTTTTTAATGGCAACATTTTATTACATGAAATTTAAATATTAAATTTTGATCTGAAAGAAAAATTAGCAGTATTATAACACTATGATAGATGATATCATCACTAAACCTAATAATAAACAAACATGTGAGAACTTTAATTGCCTCTAATCAGCCATTGCACACTCGACTACAATTTATTGGGGTTGAGATATACTGTATTAAAACTTTAACAACAGCTGCTTGGGTGATGTGAAAAGAAACCAGATCTACAAAATGACAGCAATTGGTGGTTGTTGAAAATGTGATCAAAAGAAAGCTGAGTGTACTGGTTTAACATACCAAAAGCATTCCCGATATCTTTTCCATCTCCAAAAATAAGTATCACTGCAACACAAAGAATCATGAGGATGTAATTGACTTCTGGGGAGTAGACTTCACCCTCTTTGTTAGAAGATGTATGCACCACCTTAACACGAGGAAAATAATCCAGTACAACTGATTGCTTGATGACCGAGAAGGTGGCTGATATCAGAGACTGGCTTGCAACAACAGCAGCTAGCGTGGCTATGATAAAGATTGGCCAGTAAATCGCTGTAGGTATAAACTTGTAAAATCCATCATCATGATCATTTGGGTTCTTGATAAGGTATGCAGTTTGCCCCGCATACGACAGAACAAGAGATGGATATATTGCAAGCAAAAAGGCAATCTGGTTCGACATCAATGTGGAATAAGCTATTGATAAAATATAGAAAAGGGCTGAAAAAGCGATATGGATGTTTACCTGAATTGAGCTTCTGTTAAAATGACCAAGATCAGCAAAAAGTGCTTCAGAACCTTTATGGTGGAAAACCCAAAAAAAGTATGCACGTTTCAGTTTTGATATGTGGAAAGGAAGTAGGAAACTCACTCTGAAACTCTTATCAGCATTTTCAAACTGTTACAGGATGTGAGCAGGTCTAGACACCCAATGAAACAACAAACAAGCTAATAGTAATTTCTTCACCAAAATCAAGTGAATTTCTTCTAATATTTTAAGCAACGAGTTTCTCGAAAGAAACCTGGCTGTCATATCTAAACTCAGATAATTAGGATTATTTGAAAACATTCGAGTTCTGAACAGCACAAAGTTCAATCAATAGAGCAGAAAGAAATATTCAATCTTTTAATTTAAGAACAGAAAAAAGCTCCACCTGTGATACAGAGAACAGTTCCACCAAGCAACAGCCATCCTTCCTTTCCATTTCTCCAAAAGAAATGGAATATGTAGTGAGGAGACAAAGCCTTGAATATGCTAGGATAATGCTGAATGATGCTATAAATCCCTACTAATGGAGTACACAAGGTCCACGCACCCATTATTGGGGAAAACATAAAACTCACTCTAGAAGTGCCAAACTTTTGAAGCAGAAAAAGAACAACTAGAACCACTGCAGAAAGTGCTTCCACTGAAGCTGCAACATGATAGAAAATTAAATTGTAAAAAGAGAATTTCATTTGAGATGGGGAGACAGATATAACACTCGATAACTCAAATTTTGACTTTCATTATCCTGCATTCAAGCATAATTTGGCAAAGCAACAAGAATATTTGAAAATATATTTCCATCTAAAATGACTTCTTGAAGTTACCTTTGACCTTGTATTTTTGAGTGATTGTTTTTATCTTTATTTACTTGTTCAATCTACCTTTTAGTTTTCTTAAATTTACAAGAAGATTGTGACATCATTCAATCTATATGCAAGTTGTGTTTGGACTAATCTCACAGTCCATAAACAGGGTTGAGCTCAATTCCATGATTGAACTTGTCCCAATCCACTTTATTGCCCACAAATATTATGCAACGCACTAAGAATCCATACACACCCTTAACCTGAAATGAGATAGTAATAAACAGTTCTATATAATCAATATCTATCAATTGCCAAAAATGCAATCTCAAGAGCATTGAAGGTGAGAACTAAAATGTTCTATGGACATAGGAACGTCTTGACAAGAACTGTGCAGTGGCATCTTCATACTTAGGAGTATCTGAATAAGATTCTCAAGGTAACTGCAATTTGCAAGTTATAACATTCATCATTAGTACTTACATTTGCTGACAGAGGGAAAAGGTGCTCTTATACCCTCCATAGCCGACAACACTGTCAAGAGATTTAAGAGTTTAAACAAGTAATCCATGAAAAATACTACTCCATATGAAGGTAAAGAGAAAAGAGAAGGAAAAAAAAAAGATGAAAAACCTGAGATTGCAGGTGTAAGTATACCATCCCCAATCAGCATGCATGTGCCTAACATAGCAATGAAAAGTAGTGCCCTTCTGGCAACTATGCTTCTTTCAAAAAAAATTCCAAGCCTACTTTTATTCTCAGTGCCTTCATGCAAGACAGAGTGCGAGAAACTTGAGTTTGTCTGTACTTGTTTGGAGGAAAGGATACCAATATTCATATTCCTGCAGAGCAATGAGTACAAAGCAAGTGTTCCACCTGCATATAATCAGTGGTTTGCACCAGTCAAGAACCTGTGCGTTATTATGAGTGTATGCTTTGCTTCTAGCACTATTTCAGGTCATTCTTGAAGACCACGGTCTTGAAGTAATAGAGCAATCAAAAGTTTTGGTAACTGCGAATGAAAAAAATCATAACTCTTGTATATGCACCTCTAAAGAGAGAAATCAATTTGATGAAACCTATACAGACAAAAAATCATAACCAGTTATACAACGCAACATAGATTTTTGAACTACATATGTGCAGATTCAAAAGATTCTACAACCTCTGACAAATTTACCACAAAAGAAAGTAGAATTACTTTCCTATAAAATGAATTTCTGCTCAATCCTTACTCCCAATTATTCATACAGTTCAGATCTCAGTGGGATCCAATGTGCAGAAAACATCTTGAAACTTTAAGAATTATAATTAGCGGAATGAGCTTTTTAAAGAAAACTGCAAATAGCAAACAACACATGCTAGGATGAACGAAAACTCACCTGTTTAGCCTACATCAATAAAACCAATATACATTATAAAAGTAGATTCAATTCAAGGAAACATATATAGAAAAGCTGGATTTTAGAACTGAAAAAGAACACTGCATGAAAAGGGGAGAGAGAGACAGAGAGAGAGAGTATCCATCCATCTGCCAACTAAATTCTAGATAGGGACTAAACCATAAAACTTAAACCAAATGGAATAAAAAAAAAATCAACAATCAAAGCATTCATCTTTAATACTCGGGGAAGTTATACACATACCAAAGGAAAAAAAAAACTAAATTAAAATGACAAGAAGACAGCTGGCCCAGAACTTAATCAAAACACAGAATAGAATGCAAATCAATAAGATGGATTAGCGCAAACCTTCGCCCTGATCATCGGCCTTGAGAGCTATAATGGTATATTTAACAACCCCAATGAGTGTGAGAGTCCAAAACATGATGCTATAGATTCCCAAGTAGTCCTGTTCAGTAGGAGACTTCAATGGCATTGATGGGTATACATATAATGGTGATGTCACAAGCCCTCCAAAGACAACTCCAAGTGTCTTGTATGCTAGCACCACTGTCTCCCATCTTCCTCTCTCCTGGTTAACACACAAACAAAAAATCCAGGGTTCCTCTTACTTTGCAAGAGTGTCAACATATCCATAAGCCCATTAGTGTACATATTATTAAACTCAAGATAAATGGGAATAGCCCATCAAGCAAAATCAATCAAAGAGGAAAGGTAAAAAGAAAAACATGAAGTTCAACAATCAAAAACAAAAATATTCCATCAAGTCAAATTAATACGGCCACGTTTAGAATTTGAAAAGAAAAGGGAAAGTTGCAGAAACATGAGAATGGTTTCATTATTAGCATAAAATATACTCACCAAGTCCATGAATTCTTTTGGGCCAACTGTGATGTGTAGAAACAGAGAGAAAACACAGAGAATCGAGTAGTTCAAAATATAATACCTTGGGCTGAGTAGTGGTAGTAGTAAGTGGTGGTGGTGGAATGAAGAAGGCGCTGTTGCGAGGAGGAAGGAAGTGGCTATCGGAATTATGAGAAACAGAGCAAGATGACTCGACATTCACAACAAACTCCCTCTTATTCGCCGCTGGGTCTGCTGCTCTCAACTCCCGCCCAGGCCCCGCCTGCTCTCCTCCTCCTCCTCCAAACATCTTCGTTTCCAACAATTTAATTTTCTTTTCTTTTCTTCTACGCACGCAACCTCCTACGAGCACGTTTGCTTTTCTAAATTTAAAAAGATATTTTTTTATTTTTTAAATTTTATTTTTTACATCAATATCCAAATTCTTTTCTAAAAAAATATTTACTGCAAAAACAAATCCTGTTCTACTAGTGTCTAAGTGTTAATAGAGAACAGGACAATAACGACATTCATATCAAAGAGATTTCATCAATAAATAAAATAATTTTCCTCTGTACTCAGAGATTATTTCCCATGTATTATAAAATATCACACATGAAACAAAGGCAGATTATTAGATTTCCGCGCCATGGTAATTTAAGAGTGAGGGCTGTTGAGTAAAAGGATTAGATTGTAATATTAAAAGAGAGTTAAGAATCAAAATGAAAAAAAAAACATTCGAGGATTGAATTGTGAATAATATGTTTCAGAACATTCATGATGTTTCAAGAAAAAACCTTTGAACGAGCATTCAGACCATGCAATTAAGGCTTCAATAATAATCCCGAACTTGATTTCCTTCCATCGAAAAGTTATGATCTTTTAGAGTTACTTTATTGTATTTTTTTAATAAATACAATAAAAATGTCAAATATCAATCATTTGATATTTCTTGATGCAAGGGGAAGTCCATCAAGGCAGCAGGGAGCCCAGAAAGATTGAAGATTAATTGAAATAGGATTGAAAATTCATTAAACCTTATTTTATTTTTTAAATATTAAAATAATCAATATTGTATTCTTAAAAGGTTTACAATGTCTTTTATAGACTAGAAGAGTCAACCTTCACTACAAAACAAATCAGAGTCCAAATACATAAAGAAAATTAACACAAGATCTAATATAAAATAATAAATACAGAAATATCGAGGAAAAATAATAAAGTTAGCCAAGTCAGCAACTTACAGGTTTAATTTTGATATTTCTGACAGTCCAATGAATAGTAAAGCTGTTACCCATGGAAACTAGCTTACAGACAATCCAGTAAAAATTCGAGTCTTACCTCTTTATTAGATTTTCTATTATTATTATTTTAAGTCATTATCTTGGTATAGCATTATTAGAAATTCTCTTGGATCTAAAATTTTTTTAATGATTTATATTTTTATATACCATGTAATCAAAATAATTAATTTAGAATAAATCTTTACTTTTTACAAACAATTTTGAAATCTCGACTTCATAGTCAATTTAGTTGAAGACTCTTTTGTTTGAATCATTAGATTATATGAGTTAATTTTAATTTTTTTATAAAATAAAATAATATCATTTTGATTATATAAATAAATAATTGGATATTACCAAGTTAATTAAGTTATCAAATCAAACTATTGGATCAATTAAATTTTTAATTTTATTTTTTTAAAAAAAACTTGACCTCATTCTAACTCTAGGTTAATTGAGTATGGTCTCGGATCAACAAATTCCAGTTCCGAGTTTTAAAAACATGAGGGCTTTGTCACCTTCTCTTCGTGGGCATCTTAAAAAATTTGAATTTAGAGTTCAAAGCAGTCACACCCTTTATACAAGACATGATATTTTTTTCCAAGCACTCGGGTCAGTAGTCGAATCATGTCGCTGAGCTGAGATATATGTAAAAAACAAGAAAATCAATTATTTAATTTTGAACCAGTTGGGTTTATATTTAATTAGTGGTTGGATAAGCTAGATTTAACTGCATTAATGACTTGTTATAAACCCAACCCAGCCCACGATCTATATCTTTATACTTTACCCGTCAATTCACTACTCGGTTTGACAGCTCACACCCCAAGTCCCAATTAAGAGGACTTTTGGAGTACATAAACGTTTCGTTGTGAAAATAGCTCTAGCTCCAATGCAAGAGAGAGTTTATATCCATACGGGTGTCTGGAAATGCTATGGTGATTTTTTAAAAAATAAATTTTTTTAAATATATTTAAATATTTTTAAAAATATTTAATATTAATACATTAAAATAATTTAAAAATAAAAAAAATATTAATTAGAAAATATTTTTAAAACATAAAAATAAATAAAACTATATTTAAATTGGGGGTTGGGATCTACTTGTCAGTAGAGTATTCTTTTCATTAAATTCCTGAAGTCATGGTTTTTATCAGTATTTTTGAAGTTTATGGTATTTAAAAAAAATGAGAAAGTAAAAACTATTTATAAAAATAATATATTTTGGACAGTGTTTATAATTTACAAGTTTGAAGTACAGTTTATTATTTTTAAAAATTATAAAATTGACACACACAATATTCAATAAGAAGAAAAGAGAGAAAAGAGATAAAAACAAAAAATAAAATAAAAAACATATCAATTTTACAATGATAATATTACTGATACCATTAAAAATAAATTCGATTATATCAAAAAAATTACAAGTAGAACATACAAAAAATAAATACTCTTACAAATAATTTTTTAAAAAAAGCTTACAGGCATGCAATTTTATAGTTAATCAATTAATTCTAATAATTTTATTTATTTTTTCTATAATTCATACCTTATACTTGATAAGTTAATATAGTTTGTAGTCAGTATCCATGAAATATCTCATTTTTAAAAGATAAAAACTCTTTAGTGCTTAAAAAAATATATTTTTGAGATAAGAATATAAAAATACATATAAAAAGAGATGCTCTTTGTTCAAATGTTGTACAATGTATTTATAATTTATAAGTTTTATCTTCTATAAAAATAAAAAAATTATAATTTTTATTCTTATAATATTTTAATTTATATTCCACTCATTTAAGCTAGTTAGAATATAAAAAAATGTCATGTCATAAAAGACTTTAATATATTTAATGTTGATGGTGTAGTGTAAACTTATTTAACTAAACTTTTTTATTAAAAAATAAAATTTTAAAGATTTAATGTAAAAATCTATATAATTGATGATGATAAATTCATGTATTATATTTTAATCTATAGTGTAGCGAGTTCGATTATGTCTGGGATGTGATGACAAAAAACTACTAGCTCAACACTTTCAAAAAAACACCTGTTGAGTTTGCCCAACTGACTTGGCAACATACAAGCCACTAGGTGTAATAGCACTTGTCAAACTTGGATGGTGCCTAGATTTAGTGTACTGCTAGGCTCACACACTATATTGACGCTATCTATTTATCAGACCTGGCAGTACTTGGTTGTAGCTTGATATCAATGCATCAGAAAAAAATTAATTTTTTTTAAAATAAAAACAAAAATTTCAGTAATGCCTTATAAATAAGCTTTCAAGGGTTAATTTGTTTTTATATTTTAAAAAATTATCTAGCTCAAATTAATTTTTTTTATATTTTCAAATTATTTTAATATATTAAAATTAAAAATAAATTTTAAAAAATAAAAAATAATTTAAATATATTTTTAAATATGAAAACAATATTCAACAAAATCACCTTGTCGTTCCGCTAAATTTTGCAATGAACATGTGGCGCCGCCCGTAACTGACAAGGCGGACAGTTCCCACCCAGGAAGGAGGGGATGGATGTAAATGAGTGGTTTCAATTTCCACACGCATTTGTGTCCATTAAAAAATAAAATCTAATGGGTGATAACATAGCCCGTTATCACGCCTTTTCATGCCCGCAGTGCTGGAGCTCCTCGGTCTTCCATTCATGGGCTCGCATTCCCGACTCAAGTGGCTTGGTGAGACGACAAAAGAGTTTACTGGCCAAGAGGTAGACTAATAACCAGGTTGTTTGACCCCACAGCACCTTTTCCATACATGTTCTGTGCATATTTAATTGGATCCACTGCTCCCCTAGCTTTATTATTTATGCCCCGTCCTGTGTTTTTTTCCAAACCGAAAAACATCATGCCAAAATGTACTGTTCTAATTTAAATAAAAAATAAAACTTCAACCATAATGGAATTGACTGCATTAATTTCAATCACTTCACCAGTTTAAGCATTTAAAAAACAAAAGGAAAAGGAACGAAAGAAACTAACGCAGGTCCACAAAACACAAAAAAAAAACCACTTCACCAGTTTACTCGTCTATATTTCAAGACCATCAATCACTATATTTATATATTTTAAAACCCGAGACTACAGATATAAAAATTGAAATCCAATTTTCTTGCATTTAATTCGAGTTTAAACATGGTTTTTGATTTTGTATGACGCCTCCGAGGATTATACTAATAATACTAATTTTGGACGGCGTTTCAAGGATCCAGTCGTAATTATTTCTTACTCCCAGTGCCTTGTTTCAACTAGGAAACTGACGTTTAAGCATTTAAAAAACAAAAGGAAAGGGAACGAAAGAAACAAACGCAGGTCCACAAAACACAAAAAAAAAAAAAACACGAGTCACGTAATTAGTCCAGTCAGAGTTAGCTTGCTGTTTACTTTTGTATCTGAAAGGAAATTATAAAAAAATAATATTTTTTATCTTTTATTTTAAATTAATATTTCTTAATATTCTCAAATGCATTAATATTAAAGAGTAAAAAATTATTATTTTAATATATCTTTATATTAAAAACACTTTTAAAAAAATATTAACATAATCTCAATCACCTATAACTGGCAATGATATTGGGCACGCAAAGCACGTTATTAATGCCAAGCAGATTGCTGACGCAGGACGGTTCAACAAGCTGTTCATAATTTACCGGAAGAAGGGGTATACCCCGGCTAGGAGGATCAAGAAAAGTCACAGGTCAAGAAGCGGAGACTTGCATTAAAGTAAAGGCTTTGGCGGACTCACCTTCTATGCCAAAGCGTGTGCAGAAACAGGGACGCGTTCGAAACCAGGAGAGACTTGGAATAAAAGAGTAACAGGAGACCGGGGGGGTCTGCCCTTGAGCGATATCCATGCTAAAATAGCGAACTAGTTTTGAAAGTGGGTGGGCTTCTCCTTCTTACTTTTTTAGAACGAGTCTCTTATATTACTCTCAAATGCTACACACGGCTTCCCACTCGTTAAGCACGCGGTTTAATTTATATATATAACACCTATGTCGGCCCTCTCTTACCTCCCCACCAATTGTCCATCTGCTGCGCCGAACTATCCATTGCCATTAGCA